AGCTAGGACTAACAAGTTACCAGTTTCGCAGTTAATGTCCTCGTTGTCCTTAGCACCTCAGTCAGCTGCTGAGGTGTGGCTGGAAACAGCCCTGGGCTCTGTGGGGAGGTGGCAGCCTATGCTGCTTGTGGTCATCAGCTAATTCTTGGTGATGCTCTTTTCCAATTCTCATCTTTTTTTTTTTTCCTTCCATGTTTTTTATTCCTTTTCATGTAAGGTTTCTTTTGGGGGTTGTTTTTTTATTTAACTTTTTTCCTCTTGTATCTTTGAGCTGCTAGCTGTGACTATCTTAATTATTATACTTCTCCCTGGATTTTCATTTTTCTTACCTTGTGTCATTTTAGCTGAAATAGTTTCCCACAGCTTAGTAAGTTGTTTTCATAACTGTGAGACAAGGTGACAGAGTTGTGCTGCACTAAACCAGCTTTGGGTCATGGATAGCTGAACTCCTGAGCCAGATTCCTACTAAATTCATAGTTCACCAATGCTAGATAATACTGTTTTCTGTCAGCTCACGTGTTTTTCAGTTGTGTATGTTGTGTGTACATGCTTACACCTAATAGGCAGAAATGGCAGCTGCATTTCCCACAAAAGAGGTATATTACTGCATGTGCAGTGGGCTGTTGGCAGCTATATCTTGGTGGCCGTTAACGGAGGCAACGTGGCAGAGGGCATGGCAGGAGCAGCAGTGCCCTCCAAAGGGCCCTGACCAGTGCTTGAAGCTGCAGCAGTACTGTGTTTTCCTAAGTAGTGACAGGGATGGGCCTCCAGGAGCAACACGTGTTTTATGGCTCTGTGTTTCAACTGTGTAAGCCATAGTCACCAAGGCAGGCTGAAAGACCATGGGCTGGGTCTTTACTTTTCCCATAAAATTTCTAACTAAACTGGCTATACCAGTGGTAGAGTAGTAGTATCTGTTGTAGCAAGGTTAGGCTCAAATCCAGTGAATTGGCTAACTGGGACATTATATCTTTGTATCCTCATGGTGTGGCATTTCAAACCAGCACAGGACAAATATAGCATCAGGTCCATGTTTGTGGTTTTCTGATGATGGTGGGGACACTGACCATGAGATGCTGAGAGTGATCAAAAAGGCAGTGGTAATGAGAGACACTGCCTAGCCATCTGCACTGGGCAACAGCTACGGGATTGAACTTCAGGGTGCTGCCAATGACCTGTTTCATGGATCACCTTTTCAGGGAGCCTTTATGAAAGGAAGCAATCCTTGCCTTCGTACTGAGTAATGCACAGGATCTGCGTCAAAATGTTGCCTTCTAATTTCTATTGCTGGTCTCTGGAACAGGAGACAGCATGTACTTCTATTTTACATCCACGTAAGAACAACAAAGCAAAAAAGAAAATTACCACAATTGAATCCACCCTCAGAAAGGCCAACTCTATAAACAAGGAAGTATGTCAAAAAGAAGAGACGAGTATTTATGGTCAGTGTATTTGACATATATATTGTTTTAGGTCATGCTATTGTAATTGCAGAGCAAATGCCTACCGAGAAGGACTTAGGAAAGGCTAAAACAAAGCTGATAAGGCTAAACAACAGCATGAGGGAGTTACGAGAAGAAAGAGGGTGTTGTTCAAAATGCTGGAGTCATGTCCAAATGAGGAACAGAGAAAGGATCTGGCTTTGCCAGATTAAATTGAGGGAGTGCAGCTCAAAAGACAGCAAAACTTTTGGTAAATTTGCAAACACATGCTGGGCAACAAGCCTTTCAGAAAAATCCATGAGCCTGGTAGATGGATCAGAGCTGAAAAGGAGACTCAGGGGAGTCTAGTGGATGGCTGGTTATATCTGGTAGACGTTATCACAGTAAAGACCTCTTGAGGTCCCCTGACATCCTGAACTGGCCTAACGTGCTTGCTGTCCCCAAAAGGGGCAGTCCCTTGCTTGTCTTGTCTCTCTCTTTTCCTTGCCTCATTCTAGCTAAACAGTCCCTCTCCCTTTTTTGTGCTGGCTTTTATATCTTCGGTTGGATGTGGTTCACCAAGGTGAACCAAGGGCTCCAGGACCTCTGGTGAGGCCGCGGGGAGCTATGTGTGCAAACTGGAAGGTGTCTCTAATCCTAAAATCCTCACTGAGTTTGGATGTATCCAGCTTTTCCAGAGTGTGGGTTATATTCTTGACTGAGAGCATATTTTCTTTTTTGGCTGGCCCTGTTTTTAAAGTTTCTTAAGGTCTTGGCAGTCAAGAGAAGCTCAGAGAGACACCTGAGCTTGCTGAAACAGCAGGAAGCTCCCGCAGCAGGAAGGATTCAGTAGGCTTACCCTTATCACAGCCAGTGCAAAATAAGAGTAGGTGAGACTGTGTAGCCAGATGATGTTGCGATGGGGTGAGGAAGCAACTGAGGTGAAAGAGGACCAGGAATTGAGACCATCTTCCTGCGACCATCAGGAAGCAAACTGAAAGACTGATGTGGCAGCCTGTGTAACTGCAGAGTCCTCTTTCCAAGTTAATTCTCTGCCAGTTTGTTGATCTGAATTGTCTTGCCAAGGGCTCCAGTAAGAGCCAGAGGTAATGCAGATGAAATACAGGGAGCATGTAGCTGGAAGAAGGTCCGTCTGCTTCAGCACAGAGCTGCCAGATCTGCATAGCCTCAGGTCACCATTGCACGATTCAGATCAGTGTAAGGAGATGTTTCTGCCAAAAGGAGTTTTCTCCAGATGCCTGTTCTGGCCCTTTTGCTGCTCCATCCCGTGTGTCAGGGTAAGTTGTGAAGTGATCGGGGTTAAAACTATTATGGCAAAGAAGTCTTTGCTGACCTCTTCTGCCTTGGTTGACCGTGAGAATGTTTACACTAGCAACAGTGCAGAGACTGGAGAAAGTCGCTGGGTTTGGAGAGAGTGCACACTCAGTCTTAAGGAGCAGTGTCAGTTTAAGGTGTTTACAAAAGCGATGGTGTTAGAACATTTTTGTGTGTATAAAACTTATAAATATACTTGCTCTTTCCCCTAGCCTGCTCGTGTGAGTAGTTTGGAATTGGTCAATTTGAAATCCAAGTCAACATGGCCTGAGATTTAAAACATTTATTGGTAAATTATTTTGATCTTTTTTTAGGCATATGAAGAATTGTTTTGGAGCTGTCAGATCAAATATCTGCGACAAGTCAGGAGGGACAATTATTGTGTACTAAGAGCAGTGCTTTTTCAGATATTCAGCCAAGGCATTCCTTTTCCATCATGGATGAAGGAGAGAGATATATTAAAGGTAAAATTAATTTCCTAAATATACATAATTCAGGTGACCTTGCACTGCAGAAGGAAGCTTTTCTCAATGTGAAAACTGATGTCTGCTGTAGAAGAGAATTGTTAACGAGAATTTAAAGAGAAGTTTTTCAAACTCTTTGAACCTTACTTAATTGAAAAAATGTCCCTGATCTAAACGCACTGAAGTGAACGTGAATCTAAATGGTAAAAAAACCCAAAGAGTGGATGGATAAATGTTACTGCTGCCCTGCTAGATGTCATTCCTTTAACACAAAAGGATATCTGAATCCTCCTCATCCACATCTGTGCAAAGTGTAGTGGCTTGCTTGGGAGCTGCTGAGCGTGTTGCTGGAGCAACAGGAATCCTGCCCTGGGCTCCAGGAGCTCTGGCGAGGCAGTGGGGAGGTATAGGTGCTGCCTGTGGGAACATGTGTGCAAACTGGAAGGTGTCTCTAATCCTAAATGCCTCGCTGAGTTTGGATGTATCCAGCTTTTCCAGAGTGTGGGTTATATTCTTGACTGAGAGCATATTTTCTTTTTTGGCTGGCCCTGTTTTTAAAGTTTTTTAAGGTCTTGGCAGTCAAATGCAGCCTCCTTCTTAACATTTCAGTTGTTCTGAAGCTGAACTGTACCACCAGAGGATAGAACCACATCATAATTAAAATGTGTGTAGACAAGTTTATATAACTTTATAATCTACTTCGTATTATGGTTATGATTTCTACTTAATTAGTTTGGGTTTTTGTTTTGTTTTTTGTTTGTTTGTTTTTTTTTTTCCCCCCAGCTCCCTGAAAAGCTTTTGTATTCTCAAGGTTGCAACTGGATTCAGCAATACAGTTTCGGGCCAGAAAGATACACAGGTCCCAGTGTCTTTGGTAAATTGCGCAAATGTATGGAGACATTAAAGGCCAATGTGAGTATGTAGGAGGTGGTTGGGGGAAATAAAGCACCAACAAGTGGGTTGAGACTGAGTTAGGGAACTGCTCCTGGTTGCATATTTCTATGGCAGTCAGCCTCCCATCCAGGTTCAGGGAGCTGAGCTGCTGGGCAGGCCATGGCCTCTCCTGCAGAGGAATCTCATTTTTGGGGTTCTACTAGGTTAGGTCCTCAGGATCCCCCTGAAAGTTAGGGAGGCCATCCTCCCACACAGCTGTTACTGTGTGACTAGTTGCCCTTGCTGTCAAGTGGCTCCTGCAGTACCTCATTGTTCTGTTTAAAAATAACAATATGCTGTATGAGATCCTCCCGGATTCCCTCCCCAAATGGGAGGGAACAAATAAACAATGCATTTTCTATTCAAACTATTGTCTTTCCTTTGCTCCCCTCTCCATGAAACATTGTATTTATCCAGTTTTACTATAATTTTTCTCTATAACCTGAAGCACTTGATTACAACGTCCTGTCAAGCCTCACTGCCCCCTCTACGCAGCATATCCAGATTGTCTACACTCCCAACCAGGACTATAACTCTTATTTAAAACTTGGGCAGTTTTAGTAGCCCCAAGCCTTCTGAAACAGTGATGAAATATCGGCCTGACAAGACCTCGCACCTTCCTTGAGCTCCTCTGGGGTTTCTGCGTGTCTGCAGTTACGTGAGCTCTGGATGGCTCCCATCTACTTTGCCACAAGCTGTCCCCAGCACACCACCACCCTGTCCTCCCCATCTTCCTCCTGCCAGGCATTTGGTTTGTATGCTCTCCTGGGTCACAGTCACCAAGTGGATACTGGTATTTGCTGGACTCCAGGGTTTTGTCCGAGATTAGGTTGACCCGCTTCTCTGCAGGCATCCATTATCCCGTATATTAGATCGTAAACAGTTGTTTTTAATTCTACAGTACACCTTACAGTTCTGGGATGTCTTACCACAGCCACAACAGCATATTTTACTGGTACGCATTTAAGCTAGTTCCTTTTATGTGGCCCTGTGTATGCAAGCCACACTGATAATAGGGTTTAAAACCTAGTAATTGCTACTTGAAGAAAAACAACAAACCACAAATAGACTATCTAGCTCTCAAAACAAAGTGTTAGTAATAAAAAGAGGGAATTACAATAGAGATCTGGTCCTTGTCCCTTGCCTGCAACTTTGCTGTGCCACAGTGTCAACTGCCTGTCTTCTTGAGATGTGCCTGGTGGTTCTCGCATACAGTTATTTGTTCTGGTGGCTCTTTGCACTTGCCAGTGCTAGGCTTTTGTTTTTACCTTGTTAAAGTTCTTTGCAAGTTTGATGTTCATCTCTTAGCATGAAGTTTCAAGTCAGCCTGGTGAACAAATCCATACAATTAACAAATTGTTGCAGAACAACTGTGTTGTGCATTATACTGTTATTTGGCATGAGGTCTAGCTCTCAGCTTCATTTTATTTTTATAAAGATGCTGTTTGGCCAGTGAGATGGATTTTTGCCTGTTTTCACTAACAGGATTCTCTGCTGCCTTTTCCAGCTCCGTTTTCATCTTGCAGGCTGCTGCCTGCAGATGCTGTTGTACCTGGGCCATGTTGGTGAATAGGCGCTTTACACTTAGGACAGGCTTTTCACTTAGGTAGTAGAGGTCCTCTTGCAAAAGGGCATTAGTAGTTCACCCACTTGGTCTCATTTTTAACCTGTAAGGAAGGTCTTCAGGAATGGAGGAAGTGATGAGGGATCTGGTTTTCGATTTGGTATTCATGGGTAAGTTAGATTTTTTTCTTTTTTTTTTTTAGTTGCAATGCACAGTTTATGGCCACTTCAACATACAAATGATACAAGCACAGGATTAACCGGAATTCATTTGAATCCCAGTCATTGATACTGGCAATTGTTCCTGTTTTGGAATCTTTCATATTAAATAGAATTCCTAGTAATTTGATTAATATTCTTCTGTGTGCTTTTTAGTGGACTGAAATAAGTGCTACTAAAGATCACGAAGAAAGAGGAAACATGTGTAATACACTCTTTTCTGATGAGAGCAAGGAGCACAAACTGTATGAGGCCATAAAATTCATCATGCTGTATGAAGTTGTTGAAGCCTACGAGCAGATAAAGAACAGGGAAGAACCTATACACAACCTTTTTAGCCTTCTCCTTGCTCGTGATTCTTCATCTGACCCTTTGAGTTTCATGATGAATCATCTGAACTCCATAGGTGACTCTATTTGCCTAGACCAGGTAATGATATAAACGAAAAATAAATCACAAAAGTTATTCCATCTCTGATGTGATTAAGTGGATGTATCATACATCATGTGTGATAGCTGGTCTATTTTTTTTATTTATATGGGATGTGGGGAGGTGGATTGAGGACAGGCATTTATCTTCCAGGAAGAAAACCTGTAGTAGAGTAAAATGGGGGGGACAGTTTTCTGCTGGGCCAGAAATAAATGCTGAATGGTATCAATGAGATAGTTTAGAGCAATGATACCTTTGATATGTAAAGTAATCTTAGATTACGCAGATTTGACCTGTTGTTTCACTTTTCCTGTCTGTTCCACCATGCCAAACCCTCTATCATCACTGTTTTTCCCCCTCTCTTTGGTTGCCATTAGATCTAATGCCTGTTAAGAGTAAGTAATGAGAACTCTATTATTTGTTCTCCTTTTATATAAGATTTTTTTTTAATTTTATATTTAGTGAGGAGTTAAGTACTGACATCCGTACTGCCACTCTGCAAATAGTTTCACTTTCCATTGGGTGACTTTTTTTTTTTATAATCAATTTCAGTTATCAAGTCAACTGTTAGATGTTGGAGTCACCTTCAGGAGCAGTTTGATTATAACTGGATATGTTCTGCTCTGTCTGCCTATGCCCAAGGATATGAGCTTTTTCCAAAGTATTTTTACAGATTCAACAATCCTTTGCAAGAAGTGTCAATGAAGGCGCCAGTTCTCAAGTTTTATATACGTGAAGTACAAATAAATGTTTTCCCTTTTACCATTATATTTTTCTCATGTAGCAAGTGATCACAAGGTGGCAGGCTTCCCATTTTTCAAGGTGTATCAGTCTTTTAATAACTGCTGATCCCTTCGTGCTCCCCACTAAGCTGGGTGAGCTGGCTTTGGGAGCAGTTTGTGTGTTGTGTCCGGTGGAAGAGGGACGTTTCCAAAGTGTCAAGTGTTAACAAGAATATCCTCTACATGCAAAAGAGCAGTGGAAGGACTGTTGGAACATTGAGGATACCCTCAAACATTTAATTTTCTTCACTTACAGAAGGGCCCCTGTTATTCCTTGTCTACTGTTTGAAGCTATGTGACCTGCCTTAACTTGGATTATCTTCAGTTTAGTTTTCTAAGTCTAGAAATAAATGTCTTACAGACTTCTTTCATCTTTAGGTTGAACTGTGTCTTCTTGGATACTTACTTGAAGTAAAGATAAGAGTTTACAGACTGCATAGGTTTGATACTGAGGAATTTCAAGTAAACTATCCAGATGAATACCGAAGGGAATGGAATGAGATTTCTCTCCTGACAGAGGATGACCACTACTATCACATCCCCCGTTTCAGAACCTGAAGGACCAGTGACTTCTCTTTTCTTTTGTATAATACAGTGAGTGACCAGTTCCAGTGAATTAGATTTCTAATTGGCAGCAGTAAGATTTTGAGAATGCTTGTTAATGATTACAAAATTATTTATGGGCTTATTGTGTAAACATTTTGCTTTCCCATTACAGCTCAATTCACCACCAGTCAGCCATAAAAACCATGAAATATTTTGCTGTACTGTCTGGGGGAAAATGTCATATGTGAGTGTCATCAGTCAAAAAAGATTGGACTGCATGACAAAGGCAGCAAAGGTAATGCTGGGTTTTGCATTGCTAGCCTAAGGGTTTACTCTGACATCTCTGGATCGGTTAAATCAAGTTCCTGAAGCAATTACTGCCTTTCCCTTGTCTGTCTCTAGCTAGGGAGGATGAATCACAGAGGAAGCAACTCTGGGGTCCTGCAGTTTATACTCCAGGCTATTAAACTTGCATTTTCTTGGGGCTACCTAGATTCGGAGGATGTAAACTGGGGCCTCTGTGTAGCTGCTTCAAATCACATGTGGCTTGCCCCGTTGCTGGAACACCTCCCTCCAGGGATGGGCAGAGCAAGCAGCTGTGGGCTGTACTCGGGCACTTGAAATTAAACTGTCTGTACTCAGTGCTGGTATCTGAAGGTGAAGAAGTGTTAAACAGGGTGAAAGAACCCCAACACACACATACAAGAATACTGTGCCAGATGAACAGAAGATCTACTTTATAACTGAGGAAACTACACAAGCTTTCCCACACCTAAAATGGGCAATATTAATGCAGCCTAAGGAAGAGAAGGCTCCAGGGAGACGTTATTGCAGTCTTCCAGTACGTAAAGGAGGCTTCTAAGAAAGATGTGGACAGACTTTTTAGCAGGGCCTGCTGCAATAGGTCAAGGGGTAATGGTTTTAAACTGAAAGAGGTAGTTTTAGACTAGAGATAAGGAGGAAATTTTTCACAGTGAGGGTGGTGAAACACTGGAAGAGGTTGCCCAGAGAGGTGGTAGATGCCCCATCCCTGGAAATGTTCAAGGTCAGGTTGGACGGGGCTCTGAGCAACCTGGTCTAGTTGAAGATGTCCCTGCTCACTGTAGGGAGCTTGGACTGGGTAACCTTTAAAGGTCCCTTCCAACCCAAACTATTATATGATTCTATGATAATTAATAAGTAACATGCAATAGAGTTTGACTCAGCAGATGTCAGTGGTTTTTGTCAACTTTTGTATCCTTTAAGGGCTGTTTTCAACATTACCTGCCAAGAGATACCAATATATGCTTTGCAATTCATCTGAGAAAGCTATGCACAGAATACATTCACAAACACTGCCTTTTCAGAAAACATTAATTCTCTATGCATTATGTGCATTTAGCAGTGTGTGTACATGTTATATCCTCTGTTATATCCTCTTTACTTAAGATTGCTACCTTTAGTTTAGACCTCAGTGTTTGAAGAAGTCTGTCCAAAACAACTAAATGAGATTTACTTTGTTACATGCAACATTTTGCCCCGTTCTGTTTTCTAAAAGAATCAATTTTCTTTTGATTCTTTCTAAAATGTTCTTAATTTGAAGAAATACTTAAATGATATAGCAGATCTTGCAAAATATTTGTGAAAAGTTTACAATCCCATAAACATGTGGTTGTATTGATAGAGACGGGTCTTAATTTGAACAAATACTTAAATGATATAGCAGATCTTGCAAAATATTTGTGAAAAGTTTACAATCCCATAAACATGTGGTTGTATTGATAGAAGTGGGGGTTTATTAAGAAGCAGAGCCTTTCCTTTCTGTATGCTAGAGCTATGGGGACAGGCAGGTTTAACTCCTGCAGTAGAAAATACGAGCTGATAACAAAAATGTGAACAGGGCCTGCAGGAGCTAAAGCAGTTGTATGAAGTAACTAAATGGTAATGCTTTGTGCACGGAGTGCACGGAGACTGCTCAGTTCCTTTGTGTAAAGGAAAGCAATTTTATCCCTTACAGTCCTTTTATTTGTATGTATATGTGTATATATATTTATAAACACAAACACCTGAGTTCTGTATTGTAACAGTTTTGTTTCCTGAAGGTTTTTCTGAGTTCAGTTTTGTTCAATAATTCATAGTTTTTAATTAAGAAGGCTTGATACCTGTAGTAATTTCATCTCATTTAAACCTGCATATCAAATACTTTATTGATTAAAAGAAACTTTTTTCACTGAATAATATAATTTGCCTACTTTAGATTTGATTCTGCTCTGCATGGGGAAACGTTTCCAGGCCTGAGAGTAGAGTATTGCTATCTATTTCGCATCAACAGCAACATTTACAGCTATCAGTAAACTTGTCTATATTTTATTCTTGTTTTGGTACAAGCAGACATACCAAAAAAAGGATGTATTTTTATAGGGGGCTTTTTAGTGGTTTGTGTATTATTTATGAATAGGAATACAGCATTACAGCTGTTAATGAAAAAGCTAAATTGTCAAAATTGTACATTTTTGTAATCTTGAGCATATTAATAGAAGGGGGTTAATAAAGATGTAACACGGACAGTGGAATTATCTCGCCAGTTTGGATGTCTGCCTCTGAACTAGGTCACCTTGGGCTCTCTGCCTTGTCCGTGGAGGGCAGTGGCATGCAGTCAGTCAGAGGAGCGGGTCTCTGGAGGGGTCTGCTTCTCCTCACTGACTGTAGTGGGAGCTGGCAGTGATCAGCATGAATCTCTCTGCTCTAGACGTCTCAAGTCAGGTGAGATTAATTTTGTCCCAAGAATCCAGAAAGGATAGGTTGAAACAGATCTGCTGGCTTATCAGATGCCGGAGGTGCTAGCCAAATCATGACAGAAACAGAAAGAGCATGTGAAGAAAGAGGAACTTCAGGTGAGGATAATTGCAAGTCTTGGAGCTAAACGCGGAGAGCGCTCTACGCAGGGTTTTGAGAAACACTGAGACAGGTCTGGGGCTGCACTGAGTTTCAGTCAGGTTCTCTGATAATATATTTTATGTATGTATAAAGCAAAAATACGTATTTTTACATATAAAGAAATATATGTATGTACATATGTGTGTGGTATAAAAAAAAGTACATGAAAAAGAAAACAATCCTCAATAAAGTGCATCTGGAACCAACTGGTACTATGGAAGTGGCAGGTGTTGCAGCATCTTTTCCAATCAGTGGCACAGACAAGCTAGCTGTACAGACCTAGAAGCATGCAGGCACTACCGTTGTTTTGTTTTGTTTTTTTTAAATGCAGTGTTGTAGGCAGCTGAAGTTTCAAGTCAGGATGTGTTTATTATATTGCTGCTAGTGTAGCAAGAGAAAGACGACACAATGAAACCTCAGTAGTGGGCTTGGATTTTTCCCCAAACTTGAAAATGTGTGTTAAGAATGTAACAGAGCAGCTGAAGAAATTTCTATCTTTGATTATAATGGGGGAAAAACGACCTTGTTTTTGAATGTCATCTTTTTAAAAACTGCATCTCAAAAAATGTATGAACCATGATCCATTTTTCATGTTAACTCCAAAGCAAAATACTGGCAATCTCGATTCTTCTACCCTAATACTGAAATTGCTTCTTGATTAGATTGTGGCTACTAAGTTGAAGCGAATTAAAAAACACCCAGTGTAGTTGTTTGTTGCCGGCAAGTCTGCCTGCTTCATCTCAGGGTATTGAGTTTAATGTCTAGGAAGTAGTTTTCAAAAGCAGTCTGTAATTTGCCTAAAGCACAGGTTTAAGGAATTTGTATGACATCAAATTAGTTTAGTTGTCCAGAAAAATAAAAGATACGTACATTTTTTTTCAAAGCATAGAAAATGCCCGTATAGGTTTTTTTTGCCAGTAGCTGGATTTCATGCTCCCTCTATACTTCAGTATATACAGTATTATAGCAGTCTCACCTGTTATGTTAGTGCCATTACAGCACTAATGTTTTTTGGAGTCTTCATTTTTCTGAAAAGCTCCTGATTCTGAAGCAAAGGTAAAGCTGGGATTTTGGAGCCATAGAAGCCCTGGTCCTTCCCTCTTGGCTTGCGAGGGTTTTGGGGTGCTTGAAGGCTGCCCTAGTAGGAGAGAAACTCGTTTTATTTTGGGCCTGGTTTTGTGAGAGAGCAGGATTCGAGTCTTTGAGGATCCCTTGAGGTCATTTGGGAGAGGAGCCCGGCACGGCAGCTGGGGCTGGAGGGCTGCCGCTGCCTCACGAAGGCGGGCGCACTCCTGCTCATGCCTGCTGGCAGCATCCGTCGCCGTGTTAGTCCAGCCTGATCTCGGCCAGGGGTGGAGCAGGCAGCCTTGCAGAGGCGTTTTCAGAGATTTGTCTGAAGCTTCCCAAGGAAACCCACACGCCCCCGAGACAGGAGGTGATGTACCTAGCGGGGACGCGAGAGAAATGCAGAAAACTTGCCTCCCTGGGGCTTTGCTGATGCGCATCTCTTTTCATGAACGGCTGTCAGGTTTGCATCAGGCAGGGCTACTGGGTGAGGAGGGTGGCTGGGGCGTTGCTGGGACCGGTGGCACGGGGTTGTGCCTGCTGGTCGATGAGGGTGGGAGGGAAAAATGGAAGACATGAAAAAAGTAGAGTGGGTGCTGGATGCTTTAATCTTCCAGCATATTCCAGTTTTGCTTATTTCAAAGGTTAATGCCTTGCAAGGGAATTTAACCAAAACATCTTCCTCTTTAGTGAAACGTTTGGCCATAGATCAACTCTTGATTGAAATGTGCAGGCAACTAATTTGAATGCAGTTGTGCAAGCTCGTGTGTAGCAGCTGCTGAAGTCGATGGCACATACAGCAGCTAATAACTCCCTGTCTGCTTTAAAACAAGTCCTCGTGTTCAGCTGACTGTTTTCCCCATGGTAGTAATTTTCAGGATTGTGATATACTGCATCTTACAAATGTTGGAAATGATCAGCCTTTGAGTTTCAGATGACAAACACAGCAACTAGCTATGAAGGCTTTTGTGTCCTTTTTACCTATCCAGTAGATGGCTTCCAAGCATCAGAAAATGTGTTTCAGTAAGCTCAGTTCTCCTGGCAATTCTCTGTCACACTTGCCCAGATGACAGTGGTGGGTTGGCCCCGGCCAAGCACCCACACAGCTGCTCGCTCCCTCCCTCCCACCCCAGCGCAATAGGGGAGAAAATGGGAAGAAAAGGAGCCAGAAAGCTTTTAGGCCAAGATAGAGA